GTACAGAATTCAAAAGGAACAAGTTAAGTCTTACTTCTGCATCCAGCTACCCATTTTTCCTCTGCAGAAGTAACCACCAATGCTGGTTTTGTGTCCTTTTGGATATCTGACATCTGTCCAGATGTAGATGTGCTCTTCGTCTCTCCTCTACCGCCCAACCAGTACCATGCTCTACAGACTGTTCTCCACTCAACTGAGTCCATGTAACAGCATCAGACATCATTCCATTTCAATGCACATCCTGTCATGCACCCCATAAGGAGATTTTGGTTAATAATGGACCACATATGATGATGTTCCCTTAAGATTATAATGCCACATTTTTACTGTAGCCTTTCAATGTTTAGATATGTTTAGATACACAGATACTCACTGTTGTGTTACAGTTGCCTACAGTATTCAGTATAGCAAGATGTACAGGTTTGCAGCCCAGGAGCAGTAGGTTATACTGTATTGCCTATGTGTACAGTCGGCTATACCATCCAGGTTTGTGTAAGTGCACTCTCTGATGTCCACATAAAGATGAAATCTCCTGATGACACATTTCTCAGAAGATATCCTCATTGTTTTTGTTTTTTGTTTTTTTAGAGACAGGGTTTCACCATGTTGGACAGGCTGGTCTCGAACTCCTGACCTCTGGTGATCCACCTGCCTTGGCCTACCAAAGTGCTGGAACTATAGGCGTGAGCCACCACACCTGGAGATATCCTCACTGTTAAACAACATGTGACTATAGTTCATCCATGAATACTGAATAGTATTCTATTATAATGGTGTATGTTATTTTACTTGGTTGGTCTTCTATTGATGGGTATGGATTCAAGCTGTTTCTACTCTTTTGCTATTACAAACAGTGCTGCAATGAATAATTTATATTATCTTTGGGAACGTGAAGTAGAAGTACTAGTATAAAATTTTGATAGATAATGCCAAAGTGAGCTCCACAAGTGTTTACTAATTTTTATTCCTGTCAACAAATATGAAAGTGCCACATACCTCCAAACTCTTTATAGTACAGTATTTTCTTTTTTTTTTTTTTTTTTGAGATGAGGTTTCGTTCTGTAACCTTGGCTGGAGTGCAATGGCGTTCTCAGCTCACTGCAACCTCTGCCTCCTAGGTTCAAGTGATTCTCCTGCCTCAGCCTCCCGAGTAGCTGGGATTACAGGCACCTGTCACCACGCCTAGCTAATGTTTGTAGTTTTTTTAGTAGAGGCGGGCTTTCACCATGTTGGCCAGGCTAGTCTAGAACTCCTGACCTCAGGTGATCCACCCACCTCAGCCTCCCAGAGTGTTGGAATTACAGGTGTGAGCCACCGTGGCTGGCCTTATAGTACAGTATTTTCAAATGTTTTGAACTTTATCGCTAAGCGATAAAAAGTATAAAAGTTTAAAAAAGAATATTTCTGCCAGGCATGAAGTGCAGTGGCATAATTCTGCCCAGGCTGGAGTGCAGTGGCATAATCACAACTCACTGCAGCCTTGACCTCCCCAGGCCCAGTTGATCCTCCCACCTCAGCCTCCCGAGTAGCTGAGACTACAGGCCCACATCACCACACCTGCAGCAAATTTTGGTATTTTTCTGTAGAGACAATGTTTCATCATGTTGCTCAGGTTGGTCTCGAACTCCTGGGCTCAAGCGATCCTCCCACCTTGGCCTCCCAAAGTGTTGGGATTACAGGTGTGAGCCACCATGCCCAGCCCTCTTTACGTTTTTAAAGGCCAGTTGTATCTTCTCTGTGTGATCTGCTATTTGTCTTTTGCCTATGTTCCTATAGAATTATGCAATTTCTACTGATTTGGAGAAGCTTTATGCATATAAGGAAATTAGCTCTTGTGATATGTATTGAAAATAGATTTTTTCAGTCTTTTTTTTTTTTTTTTTTTTTCTGAGATGGAGTTTCACTCTTGTTACCCAGGCTGGAGTGCAATGGTGCGATCTTGGCTCCCTGCAACCTCCGCCTCCTGGGTTCAGGCAATTCTCCTGCCTCAACCTCCTGAGTAGCTGGGATTACAGGCATGCGCCACCATGCCTAGCTAATGTTTTGTATTTTTAGTAGAGACGGGGTTTCACCATGTTGACCAGGATGGTCTCGATCTCTTGACCTCGTGATCCACCCACCTCGGCCTCCCAAAGTGCTGGGATTACAGGCGTGAGCCACCGCGTCCGGCTTTTTCAGTCTTCTTATGATTTTGTCTATTTTTCTGAAGTCTTTTGTTTAAATCTTTTATTTCATGGTGTGTAGGTTTTGTGTCATTTCAGAAAGCTGTCTCCACTCCAAGGTTTAAAAAATCATTTCCTATCTTTTCTTCTAAAACTTTAATTTTTTAGAAAAACAATGTAGTTATTTTTAATCCCTGTGGACTTTTATGTAAGAAATGGGGTAAGGATCCACCTTATTTTTTCCCTAGATATTTCCTCAGTTGTCCTTTAAGATTTATTTAATAATCTTTTTCCTGAGGATTTTTATTTGTAAGGTATGAAACAATATTCACAATGAGGGAAAAAAAAAAACAATCAAATTACACATTTTTAAAACATGATTGTTGTTGGGCACAGTGGCTCACGCCTGTAATCCCAGCACTTGGGAGGCTGAGGCGGGCAAATCACAAGGTCAGGAGATTGAGACCATCCTGGCTAACATGATAAAACCTCGTCTCTACTAAAAATACAAAAATTAGCTGGGTGTGGTGGCACGCACCTGTAGTCCCAGCTACTTGGGAGGCTGAGACAGAAGGATCGCTTACACCCGGAGGCAGAGGCTGCAGTGAGCGAAGATTGTGCCACTGCATTCCAGCCTGGACAACAGTGAGTCTCCGTCGAAAGGAAGAAATAAAGGGAGGGAGGGAGGGAAACCTGATTGTTGTTACCACGGATATAAAAAGATTGAGAAAAATAACACATTTTTTAAAAAATGAGACAGAGTCTTGCTGTATCACCTACGCCTCAGCGATTCTCCTGCCTCAGCCTCCTGAGTAGCTGGGACTATGGGCGTGTACTACCATACCTGGTTAATTTTTGTATTTTTTATTAGAGATGGGGTTTCACTATGTTGACCAGGCTGCTCTCAAACTCCTGACCTCAGGCAATCTGCCTGCCTCAGCCTGGAATTACAAAAATGAACCACCATGCCTGGCTGACACAACCTTTATTTTATTTTATTTATTTTATTTTATTTTTTCCAGACAGGGTCTCACCCTGTCACCCAGGCTGGAGTGCAATGGTGCCATCTTGGCTCACTGCAACCTCTGCCTCCTGGGTTCAAGAGATTCTCCTGCCTCAGCCTCCCAAGTAGCTGGGGTTACAGGCATGTGCCCCCATGCCCGGCTAATTTTTGTATTTTTTTTTTTTTGAGACAGAGTTTCACTCTTGTTACCCAGGCTGGAGTGCAATGGCACGATCTCGGCTCACCGCAACCTCTGCCTCCTGGGTTCAGGCAATTCTCCTGCCTCAGCCTCCTGAGTAGCTGGGATTACAGGCACGTGCCACCATGCCCAGCTAATTTTTTGTAGTTTTAGTAGAGATGGGGTTTCACCATGTTGACCAGGATGGTCTCGATCTCTTGACCTCATGATCCACCCGCCTCGGCCTCCCAAAGTGCTGGGATTACAGGCTTGAGCCACCGCGCCCGGCCTTAAGGACATTGTTTCTTAACTGGCAGGAACTTGCTCTGCACCCTGGAATAAACTCTGAAAGCTGGGAGCAGTCAGAGGCCTCAGACAAATAAGCATAACAGCTAACATTTCCTGAGCACTTACTACTTGACAGACACTGTGCCAAGCTCATTTAAAGCGTATCTCACTTTTCACAGCAGTTCCATAAGGTAAATCTATCATCCCCATTTTATAGATGAGGCAATTGAGACTAAAGATAAAGTACTTTGCCCAAGGTCATACAGCCAGGAAAGAGTGGAGCCAAGATTTGGAACCAGGCCAGTCAATTGCCGTGTGCATGCTCCTTACCCCTCTACTATAATGCCTTCCCCCCAAAAGAGCAATTACCTGTCTTCACCATGCCCAGCCTGGCAATGTGACCAGCACCCATGTTGGCTCTCACATCCTCACATTCTCCCCTAATGCAACTTCTTGCTTGGGAAATAGATAATGCTGAAGCAGGGATGATCAGGAGTGGCTTTTGTGATGGGCGGGAAGGAGGCCTGGGCTGCGGGGGTGCTGGGAGACCGCCGCCTGTTTCTGTCTTGCTGACAACATTTTTCCCTTCTCTGCACTGGACAGAGCCTCCTCTGTTCCTCTCCATCTGACTTCCTGCTTCCTCCTGTGGCTTTGGAGTGCCTGGCTCCTCTGACTACCTCTCCTTAAGCCCCCATCTCTTCTCTTTCTCATTCTGCTTGGTAAGAGGAACAAGGGTTCTGGGGTCTGGGCAAATGGAAATATTTCCTGGTTCTAGCAAATGGGCCCAGTAAGGGTTGGGTGCACCACTGAAAAGGTAAATGCACCCCGTGGAGCTCCACCAGAGGCATTACCGCTCCCTAGCAGGGCATCTGGAAGCAGCAGTTTTTTTCTTAAAACTTAAATTATAGTAAGCATACAGAATAGCCCACAGATCGTGAACTTGGTTTCCGCAAGGTGAATACACTCATGTAACCAGTATCAGATTAGGAGACAGAATATTCCCAGCATCCCATGTAACCAGTACCAGGTCAAGAAACAAACATTTCCAGCAGCCCAGAGGTTCCTCTCCAGGCTCTCTTCTAGTAACCACCCCTAGAGTAGAGGGCTGGGGGCATTTTTGTTACAATGACTTCTGGGTTCTACTGGCATTTAGTGGGCAGGGTCTAGGAATGCTACGTATCTGCAGTGCCTGGGACTATTCTACAGTATAAAGAACTGTCCTGCCCAAGGACTGTTAAGAAACACTGTGCCTGCCAGGTCTGACCAGTGATGGGCTGCAGTGTGGCAAAGGCCTGGGGACAGGGGTGCAACTGTGTCTAGGGGTCAGGGTGAGGAGGGGACTTCACCGCAATGCTGTTGCCACCCCCAGGCCTCCGGAATGCCCCCCGCTGCTGGGCAGTGATCCAGCCCCTGCTGTGTGCTGTATACATGCCCAAGTGTGAGAATGACCGTGTGGAGCTGCCCAGCCGCACCCTCTGCCAGGCCACCCGAGGCCCCTGTGCTATCGTAGAGAGGGAGCGAGGCTGGCCTGACTTCCTGCGCTGTACTCCTGACCACTTCCCTGAAGGCTGCACGGTGAGTGCTCTATGAGGCGGGGTCCAGGCTCTGGGCTGGGCAGGACCAAGTATAGGGCAGGGTCCAGTGGGGAGCAGGGGACCCCAGAGCTTTGTCTCCTGGAGACCCTGAGCCTACAGCCATGGAGTCAATAGGCCATACATTCAAACTGCAGCTTAGTGGCTGGACTGTCTATTAGGGAGTCTCTGTTTATCAATGATCACACATTCAGCAGAGAGTTTTGAGCACTTGCTCTGTTGCGTGTTTTGGTATTACAGGCATCATGGATGACAGGAGCCAATCAGGAAGCTTATCATGTATGTTAGGAGTCAAGGCATGTGCATGTGAAACAGCTAGAGCCACCAAGACGGGACATGAGCTATTCTCGGTGGTACAGGAGAGATCTTAAATGATGAGAATAAGAGTATTAACAGTGGCAATAATACTAATTAGTCCTGTTTACTATATGCCAAATACCATTAAAATAAGCTAACGCCTGTAATCTCAGCACTTTGGGACGCCAAGGTGGGCGGATCACCTGAGGTCAGGAGTTTGAGACCAACCTGACCAGCATGGTGAAACCCCATCTCTACTAAAAATACAAAAATAAGCCTGGTGTGGTGGTACACACCTGTAATCCCGACTACTTGGGAAGCTGAGGCGGGAGAATCGCTTGAACCTGGGAGGTGGAAGTTGCAGTGAGCTGAGCTCATACCACTGCCCTCCAGCCTGCACCACAGAATGAGACTCCATTTCAAAAAAATAAATAAATAAGCTGGCTGAGCAGAGTGGCTTGCCTGTAATCCTAGCACTTTGGGAGGCTGAGGCGGGTAGATCACTTGAGGTCAGGAGTTCAAGACCAGCCTGACCAACATGGTGAAACCCCATCTCTACTGAAAATACAAAAAATTAGCCAGGCATGGTGGTGGGCACCTGTAATCCCAGCCACTGTAATCCCAGCTACTTGGGAGGCTGAGGCAGGAGAATCTCTTGAGTCCTGGAGGTGGAGGTTGCAGTGAGCCGAGATCACGCCACTGCACTCCAGCCTGGGCGACAGAGCCAGTCTCAAAAAAAAAAAAAAAAAAAAAAATTATGTTTATTTAACCCTTAAGCCATACCCTGAGGTAAGTACTACCATCTTAGAAATAGGGAAACTAAGTTACAGAGAGGCCAGATAATTTCCCCAAGGCTGCACAGCCAGCCCTGGGATTCAGATCCCGGAAGCATGTCTCCAGCCACGTGCCATGTTACCTGGGTACCTTTCCCTAAACAAGAGACTCAGCCCTGAACTGCCTTGACACCATCTTCTCCCATCCCTGGTGCCAGAATGAGGTGCAGAACATCAAATTCAACAGCTCAGGCCAGTGCGAAGCTCCCTTGGTTCGGACAGACAATCCCAAAAGCTGGTATGAGGACGTGGAGGGCTGCGGCATCCAGTGCCAGAACCCGCTCTTCACCGAGGCCGAGCACCAGGACATGCACAGCTACATCGCGGCCTTTGGGGCCATCACAGGCCTCTGCACGCTCTTCACCCTGGTCAGCCTGGAATGTGGGAAGAGAGCCAGAGGGAAGGGGGGCAAAGGGGTCCCCAGGAAAGGGTCGTGATCAGAAGGGTCTGGGGTTCATTTAAGAGTGTCTGTGTCAGCAGAATAACCCTAACCTCGCAGAACGGTTTGCTTCTCTCTTCTAGGCCACATTTGTGGCTGACTGGCGGAACTCGAATCGCTACCCTGCCGTTATCCTCTTCTACGTCAATGCCTGCTTCTTTGTGGGCAGCATTGGCTGGCTGGCCCAGTTCATGGATGGTGCCCGCCGGGAGATTGTCTGCCGTGCGGATGGCACCATGAGGCTTGGGGAGCCCACGTAGGTGTCTTGGTTACCCAGAGGTGAAGATGGGAGGAGGAAGGCTGAAGTGTGCATTTACCCTAAAAGGGGCAGGTGCGTGTGAAACCGAGCTCCAGGGTGGGATCTGGCTCTGCCTTACTGCATACTGCACACAAGTCTCGTGCACTAGGATCTCGGTTTCAGAATCAGGACCTTCATGGTTTGCATCTGCTCAAAAGGGCAGCTCCTAGAGCTTCCACAAACCTGACCTGGGTCCTGTCTCCAAGCCCTGACTCCTGGGAACGCCCACACCTCAGCAGCCAAGGATCTGGGCACAGGGTGGGGAGAACAGGTACAGGGAGTCTGGAGTGACCGTCTCAAGTGATATCTCACTTGTCTGCACAGCTCCAACGAGACTCTGTCCTGCGTCATCATCTTTGTTATCGTGTACTACGCCCTGATGGCTGGCGTGGTTTGGTTTGTGGTCCTCACCTATGCTTGGCACACCTCCTTCAAAGCCCTGGGCACCACCTATCAGCCTCTCTCGGGCAAAACCTCCTACTTCCACCTGCTCACCTGGTCACTCCCCTTTGTCCTCACTGTGGCAATCCTTGCTGTGGCCCAGGTATAGTGACTGGTAGGGACGGGAGACCTGGGTAGGGTGAGTTTGGGGGAGGGGGCTGGTGACCCACCTTCCCTCCCCCCTTCCTGCTGCAGGTAGATGGGGACTCTGTGAGCGGCATCTGTTTTGTGGGCTACAAGAACTACCGATACCGTGCCGGCTTCGTGCTGGCACCAATCGGCCTGGTGCTCATCGTGGGAGGCTACTTCCTCATCCGAGGTGAGTGGAGACCAGGCCAGGACCAGGCAGCCAACAAAATGTGCTGGGCACCTGCTGTGTATAAGTGGGAGCTGGAAGCTGCCAGCACTGCTGCCCCGTGCTAAGACCCCAGCTGGCTCCGACAGGGCTTTCACACAGAGTAGAAGAAGGTGACCATCTAGGCAGATGAAACACCATGAGTGCTTGCTGTGGGTCAGCACCTTTGTGCTGGCCAGAAAAATCCATCCCTCTTCCCAGAGCCTTGGCCCAGGGCTCACAGCCTGGTTTTGTTTTGTTTTGTTTTTATTTATTTATTTATTTATTTTTTGAGACGGAGTTTCGCTCTTGTTACCCAGGCTGGAGCGCAATGGCGCGATCTCGGCTCACCGCAACCTCCGCCTCCTGGGTTCAGGCAATTCTCCTGCCTCAGCCTCCTGAGTAGCTGGGATTACAGGCATGCACCACCATGCCCAGCTAATTTTTTGTATTTTTAGTAGAGACGGGGTTTCACCATGTTGACCAGGATGGTCTTGATCTCTTGACCTCGTGATCCACCCGCCTCGGCCTCCCAAAGTGCTGGGATTACAGGCTTGAGCCACCGTGCCCAGCCTTTGTTTTGTTTTTATAAGACAGAGTCTCACTCTGTTGCCCAGGCTGGAGTGCAGTGGCACAATCTTGGCTCACTGCAACCTTCGCCTCCTGGGTTCAAGTGATTCTCCTGCCTCAGCCTCCCCCATAGCGGAAATTACAGGCACATACCACCACACCTGGCTAATTTTGTATTTTTAGTAGAGATGGAGTTTCTGCATGTTACCCAGGCTGGTCTTGAACTCCTGACCTAAAGTGATGCACCCGCCTCAGCCTCCCAAAGTGCTGGGATTACAGACATGTGCCATGGTGCCCAGCCTCACAGCTTGTTAGGTGGAGTTGGATCAAGATTCGGCCCCAGTCAGCTCCTGGCCAGTTCATCCTTGTGTGATGAATGCCCTGAGTAACACTGCCCACTTAGACCAACCTGGGTCCTTTGGGTAATGTGGGACCCAGGTTGCACACTAATTTTATATGTACTGTCAGTCTTCTGGAGCTTGGTTTTCATCTATTCTGCCCCCAACACACAGAGATCACAACATGCATGGAATTAGTGGTCCCTAACTTTCTGTCTCATGCTGCCATCCCACAATAAGCCTGAGTATCTATTGAGCTCATTTTCATTGGGTTTTCTTTGTGAACTTCAGTTTCCTCACCCTGAAGTGCCAGCCTTCTGTTCAATCCACCTCTTTCCCCTCTTTTGGCATAGTGTTGTAATATTGGGGTTCAGGGGTTCAGGGTGCCCTCAGCTCCCCTGAGAGGATGTTTCTCCAGGTTCTTGGTCTCCTGCCCTCTCAAGAATGAGAGAGGGGACCATGGCACAGTGCGCAGTAAATGCCGGACTCAAAAGTGTTTGTAGAAAGTGATTTATTTAAAGAGAGAGAAACAGGAGAAGGAGAGAGAAAGAAACAGCTAACTCTCACACTGAGTGAGAGGATCCAGAAAAATGGAATCCAGGAAAGGAAAGCAGCTTCCATGAGAGTATTAGGGAATAGAGAGAGATGGAGTTTGGGAGGGGAAGACAGGCTTCCATGAGAGAGTGTGGAAGGGGACCCCAGAGGGAAAATCCAGGATAGAGAAAGATGGCTTCCACGAAGGGAGTGTTCATGGAAGGGGACCCAAACATGGAGTCCAAAGAGGTGTGGAAGAAGGGGACTTTTAACCTGGGGGGAACCCCCACCTTCTCCAAGACCCCAGGCCAATGAACGGAGTTCCTTAGAACTTCCACTGGAGTGATTGACTCTTAGTTTCTTCCTGCACCCATGAAATTCAAACATAAACCATTAAATCCCAATGGAGAGAGATGGGAGGGGGGCATGGTGCTGGGAAGTTCTTGCCCTTAAAACTACGCCCCCTTGTGGACCCGGAAAGAGAACACCTTCCCTCAGTGTCGGGGCCTCTGATTTGTGCTTCGTTATCATATTGTCCTGTTATGGTGATCACTAGCCACATGTGTTGAAACTAGTCCAGGCTGGGTGCAGTGGCTCACTCTTGTAATTAAATACTTTGAGAGGCTGAGACAGACAGATCACTTGAGCTCAGGAGTTCAAGACCAGCCTGAGCAACATAGTGAGACCCCATCTCTGCAAAATATACAAAGGTTGCCTGGGGAGGGTGGTACACGCCTGTGGTCCCCGCTGTGTGAGAAGCTGAGGTTGGAGGTTTGCTTGAGCCCAGGAGGTTGAGGGTGCAGTGAGCCATGATCATGCCACTGCACTCCAGCCTGGGTGACAGAGTGAGACCCTGTCTCAAACAAAACAAGACAAGAAGAAGAAGATATGAGTTGGCTGGGTGCGGTGGCTCACACCTGTATTCCCAGCACTTTGGGAAACTGAGGCAGACAGATCATGAGGTCAGATTGAGACCATCCTAGCTACCACGGTGAAACCCCGTATCTATTAGAAATACAAAGATTAGCCAGGCGTGGTGGTGTGCGCCTGTAATCCCAGCTACTCCGGAGGCTGAGACAGGAGAATCGCTTGAACCCAGGAAGTGGAGGTTACAGTGAGCCGAGATGACACCATTGAATTCCAGCCTGGGTGACAGAACGAGATTCCATCTCAAAAAAAAAAAAATAGAAATGAGTCCAAATTGAGACGTGTTGTAAAATGTGAAATACACACTGTGTTAAAAAAAACTTAGCAGAAAAAAAATGTAAAATATCTCAACAATTTGTTATAAGGATTATGTGTTGAAATGATTTAATTTTTAATAGATTAGGTTTGTAAAATATGTTGATATTAGTTTTGTTTCTTTTTACTTGTTTTAAGTGGCCACTAGAAAATTTGCCATTATATATGTGGCTCACATTATATTTCTATGGGAAGGCTGGGCGTGGTGGCTCACACCTATAATCCCAACACTTTAGGAGGCCACGGTAGGCGGATCATCTGAGTTCAGGACTTAAGACCATCCTGGCCAACATGGTGAAACCCCGTCTCTACAAAAATATAAAAATTAGCCAGGCATGATGGTGGGAGCCTGTAATCCCAGCTACTTAGGAGGCTGAGGCGGGAGAATCGCTAGAACCCAGGAGGCAGAGGTTGCAGAGAGCTGAGATTGCACAATTGAACTCCAACCTGGGTGACAGGGTGAGACTTTGTCTCTCGACAGATAGATAGATAGATAGATAGATAGATAGATAGATAGATAGATAGGGTGAGACTCTGTCTCTCTCTCTCCATAGATAGCTAGATTAAATAAATATATATTATAGATCTATAGATATATATATATAGATCTCTGGATCTATATATATTTCTATTGGATAGCACTATTCTTGAGTCTGTTTTATGCCTTTTCCATCAGAACAGCCACGATCTGGCCACCTTCCTCAGGGGCAGCTGGGCCACGACTGAGGCTCCCTCTTCTTAAGTGTCTGTCTAGGTTCTGCCCTGTCATCTCAGTCCCTGGCAGACCTGCCACCAGCTGCTCACCATTTCTCCAGGGTCTCTGCTCCCCAGGCTTTCAATCAGCACAGGGGTCCTCAGACGCGGGACTCCAGAGCCTTAGGCCCCTCCTCCCACACACCCATCCTTTCCAGCAGGGCAGCCTCACCTCTGCTAATGTCTGAGCTCCCCCTTCTGTTCAGGAGTCATGACTCTGTTCTCCATCAAGAGCAACCACCCCGGGCTGCTGAGTGAGAAGGCTGCCAGCAAGATCAACGAGACCATGCTGCGCCTGGGTGAGTGGCCCTGGGGACTTCGGTCTGAGGTCCTGCCCAGCCCAACACTGCACCCTCTGGGGCTATGCCAGCGTCAGGATGCAGGAAGTCAGTGGGACAAGTTAGCCATGGGGACAAGGACAAGGGGTGCGTGTAGGTTGTAGTGGTAGTGGCAGCTCAAAAGAAGGGGCCCTACTCGGGGAAAGAATTCAATCAAATTCATGCTGGCACTGCCTCCTCCTCCCGCCACACCCCACGTGGGCCCTCCCACGGTTGCCTCGAGTGCCCTTCTTTATTTTAGAGAAAGCAGCTCTTGGCCAGACTCGGTGCCTCATGCCTGTAATCCCAGCACTTTGGGAGGCCGAGGCGGGTGGATCACGAGGTCAGGAGTTCAAGACCAGACTGGCCAAGATGGTAAAACCTCGTCTCTACTAAAATGACAAAAATTGGCCAGGCACGGTGGCAGGTGCCTGTAATCCCAGCTACTTGGGAGGCTGAGGCAGGAGAGTTGCTTGAACCCCGGGTGACAGAGGTGCAGTGAGCTAAGATCACGTCATTGCATGCCAACCTAAGCAAAAGAGCAAGACTCCATCTCAAAAAAAAAAAAAGAGAAAGCAGTTCTCGGACTGAGCCCAGCATGAGTTCATCCCAGCCCCTGCGGTCTTTCATGCCTCGATGGGGCAGACTCCCTTCTCCTTGCTGCTGCTGTGGGCTCTGGGCTTGATAATGTCCTGTCCTGCCCCCATCCTCCACAGGGATTTTTGGCTTCCTGGCCTTTGGTTTTGTGCTCATTACCTTCAGCTGCCACTTCTACGACTTCTTCAACCAGGCTGAGTGGGAGCGCAGCTTCCGGGACTATGTACTGTGAGTGAGGGGCCTGGAGGCGGCAGGGGTGGGAGCAGAACCAGGGCTGTAAGGACACCTACCTCCACCCTCCTGGCAGCAGGGATTGGCCAGGCCCCTGCCGCAGACAGCAGATTCAACTGCTGGTGTCTTGGTGCACAAGGCCTCGGTCTCTGTAGTTTCTCAAACATGGCAAATAACGTTCGAGTCCCTCCCACCTCTGCCCTTCCCTCTCCACCGCCTTGGTTGCCGGGCTGGTGCACATGTGACTGTTAAGCCGCTATTTCAGCTTCGGCTTCTCTGACCGATGCTAAGTTGCGCTCTAATTCTGCGTGCGTTCCCGCAGAGCCTGTTGTAGATCCCTGCACGGGACCAGTTACCTCTCTGCCACACGTTAATGAGCTGCTAATGTCAGCTAGTTTTGCTTGTGCCTTTTCGTGTCATAATGAGGATGGATTAGAGAGAGTAAGACATCTCTACTGTGAGAGAAGTGCAGCACCCACTGTTACAAGGACAGCCGCTAAAATGGATGCTAGTCCAAGCCCTGACTGCTTCAGGCTCTCCCTTAAAGGTTCCAGCTTCCAGTCTGGGATGGTTTAAACCACAATGATGCCTGAGTCTTTGCCCCAGAGATTTGATTTAATTGTGTGGGGTGGGGCCCAGACATCAGTAGCTATTAAAAGCTCCCCAGTTGATTCTAATGAGCACCCAGTGTTGAGATCAGTGCTGTGGGGCTTAGTCCTTTTTAAAGTTTTTGGATTGATTGTCTGAGTCTACACAGTAGACTCAGAAAGCCCCACCTGTAGTCTCAGCTACTTGGGAGCCTGAAGCAGGAAATTGCCTGAGCCCAGGAGTTGGAGGTTGCGGTGGGCTGTGATTGATTGTGCCACTGTACTCTAGCCTGGGTGACGGAGCAAGACCCTGTCTCAAAAAAAGAGAGAAAAAAAAGGAAAGCCTCACCTGTCTCCCTTCCCTCACCATAGGTGCCAGGCCAATGTGACCATCGGGCTGCCCACCAAGAAGCCCATCCCTGATTGTGAGATCAAGAATCGCCCGAGCCTTCTTGTGGAGAAGATCAACCTGTTTGCCATGTTTGGAACTGGCATCGCCATGAGCACCTGGGTCTGGACCAAGGCCACGCTGCTCATCTGGAGGCGGACCTGGTGCAGGTGGGGGTGGCAGCCAGCCCCTCCTGCCCCGTCTGCCTCACCCTCAGCCTTGGGACCCCATCATTTTTTTTTTTTTGAGATGGAGTCTTACTCTGTCACCCAGGCTGGAGTGCAGTGGTGCAGCTCAGGGTTCACTGCAATCTCTGCCTCCTGGGTTCAAGTGATTGTCCTGCCTTGACCTCCCAAGTAGCTGGGACTACAGGGCACGTGTCACCATGCCCGGCTAATTTTTGCATTTTTAGTAGAGTCAGGGTTTCACCATGTTGGCAAGGATAGTCTTGATCTCTTGGCCTCGTGATCTGCCCGCCTCGGCCTCCCAAAGTGCTGGGATTACAGGCGTGAACCACCACACCCGTAGATCCCATCTTTAGGCTTTGTCAGGTCCTCCTTCCAGCACAGCCTTGGTCAGTGGTTCACCACTGCCCCCTGGTGGCACCTCCTGTCCTTGAGTGGACCAAGGCCTGAGCCAAGTGCAGAGCCAGCTGCTAGTATCTTCTAAGAGTGGAGTGATTGGAGGGCTGGCCACACAGTAGCTCTGCATTCTAGTGCCACTTCTTTGCAGAGGCCTCTACTCCTCAGTCCTTGAGGGACATGAGGCCCTCCGGGGCCTTCTTTTCTGGAAAGAAGGGCATCACGGGCCCTTCCCCAGATTTGATGGGAAGCGGCTGCTTCTTCACCCGTCTTCCCTATCCCTTCTGCTCTCAGGTTGACTGGTCAGAGTGACGATGAGCCCAAGCGGATCAAGAAGAGCAAGATGATTGCCAAGGCCTTCTCCAAGCGGCATGAGCTGCTGCAGAACCCGGGCCAGGAGCTGTCCTTCAGCATGCACACCGTGTCCCACGACGGGCCCGTGGGTGAGCCTCACCCCCCTCCACTGGAGCTGCCTGGCCTCGCAGAGCCCATGTGCTAGTCTCTGCTAGGCTGCTAGGGGCACACAGATTGTTTGGAAGACCGACTGAGGGGCAAGATGCTCCTCTCCCACCCCATCACTCACACGCCCATTCTTCCCCAGGCCCAACCCACCCTCTGGGAGACTCTCCCCTCCGTTTCTGCCCCTGGGTGGGCTTGCTGGTGCTTGGGTTCCAAGAGGACTCTCCTCCCTCTCCCTTCTCCAAAATTCTCCAATTGCTATCCCTGGGCAAGAGTAAGTCAGGGTTCCAAGAACAGGATTTCTGGCCTCCAGTGAGGCCCTTTGGGGACTTGAGGCCCCTCTCTTAAGATTCTGAAGGGGTAGAGATCACCGTGATTACAGGGTGAGCTTTCTCTGGTGAGCAGGAGGGAGTGCCTGCGGGAAGATGAATGGCACTGGGTTTGGGAGGCACTGCCAGAGACTGTGGAATCACTGTTCCCTCTCCCTTCTTCCTTCTGTCCCCACAGCGGGCTTGGCCTTTGACCTCAATGAGCCCTCAGCTGATGTCTCCTCTGCCTGGGCCCAGCATGTCACCAAGATGGTGGCTCGGAGAGGAGCCATACTGCCCCAGGACATTTCTGTCACCCCTGTGGCAACTCCAGGTATGAGTTCCAGCTTCTGGAGGAAGGTGGGGGGCACAGAAGCTGGGGGTTTCTGGGACTGGAGTACAGGGGCTGTCAGAGAAGGAGGAAGAGGAAGGAAAGGCCCCAGAGGATCTGCAGGGTGGGGCTGAGGCTCGAAAAGTCTAAAGGTCTGGGCCCCAGAGCTAACCTCAAAAAGTCTAAAGGTAAGGACGCCCAGGGGAGCTGGGGTGGCATAGACAGAGCCAGGGCCTCAGGCACGTGTTCCCTCTCCTCCTGTCAGTGCCCCCAGAGGAACAAGCCAACCTGTGGCTGGTTGAGGCAGAGATCTCCCCAGAGCTGCAGAAGCGCCTGGGCCGGAAGAAGAGGAGGAGGAAGAGGAAGAAGGAGGTGTGCCCACTGGCACCACCTCCTGAGCTTCACCCCCCTGCCCCTGCCCCCAGTACCGTTCCTCGACTGCCTCAGCTGCCCCGGCAGAAATGCCTGGTGGCTGCAGGTGCCTGGGGAGCTGGGGACTCTTGCCGACAGGGAGCCTGGACCCTGGTCTCCAACCCATTCTGCCCAGAGCCCAGTCCCCCTCAGGGTCCGTTTCTGCCCAGTGCACCGGCCCCCATGGCCTGGGCTCATGGCCGCCGACAGGGTCTGGGGCCCATTCACTCCCGCACCAACCTGATGGAGGCAGAGCTCATGGATGCAGACTCGGACTTCTGAGCCTGAGGAGCAGGACCTGGGACGGGAAAGAGAGGAACCAACACCGTTCCAGGCTCTTCTTCCTTCCTGAGCGTGCTTCCCCAGGATCCAGTCTCCCAGAGAACCTGTGAGCTTAATGCCCTCCCAGGAGAGTTCTGGATGTCCGGCTAAAGCAGCGGGACTGTGGAAAAGAGCCTGACACCTCTGCAGGGAGGCCTCACCCCAGGGGGAGGGCCCTGGAGCTGAGGTTCCTTGTTTCTGCCCTGTCAGCTGCAGCCTGGCTGGCAACATCTGCTCCATGGGCGGGGTGGGGGGGGGGCGGGATGCAGAGCTTGTGGAGGGGTAGGAATGGTGGAGGCAAAGGTGACAGTTCCTGAAGTGGGTTGTGATGGCCAGGGAGGCAGCCTAGCCCATGTCTGGCAGATGAGGGCTGGCTGCTGTTTTCTGGGCTAATGGGTGCCCTTTCCTGGCACTCTCAGTCCAAAAGTGTTTATTGTGTCATTAGTCCTTTGTCTAAGTAGGGCCAGGGCTCCCTCTTCCTCTCCCAGGTATTTGTGGGGCTGGAAGTGCCTGCTGCCACAGGGGCTGTATCCCCTCTTAATAGGTGGCCCTACCCCAAACCCATCTTTTGTTCTCCTGTATCCTCCTTCCCCTGTTCCATTTCAGTTCAGTTTCAGAGGTGCCAGCCTCTTCGCATTTCCTTTTTGTTGATGAGGACCCAGAGCTGCTGCACACACTCACCCCCAGCCCCCTCCCTTCGCTGCTAGGCTGGTCTCCATGGGAGAGACTGGTTCACTCTAGGGCCTCAGCCTGGAGTGAGATAGGAGCAGTGAGTGACGGGGCCTCCAAGAGATGTGTCTTCTCTTCCTCACACCCATTCAGTGGGGGATGGGCCTCTAGACTTCAGGGGCTACCCTGGGAAGCTGCCATAGCTTCAGCCAGTCAAGAAAGAGCATCTTTCCACTTCCACAACCGGTGGTGAGGAGATTACCACCTTCCATACCCTCCAACCATGTCTCCAAGGTCCTAGTTTCAAGAATCAGATAGCAGGAAGCCATAGATGCTGGCTGGGTTCCAGGTTATGGGGGAGAAGGAAATACAGTCAATAAAAGGTTTTTGTATAAACTCTTGGTGTGTCCTTTTTGTTTTTTTTAGATAAGAGTCTCACCATCCCCCAAGCTGGAGTGCAGTGGCGTGAGATCAGCTTACTGCAACCTCCATTTCCCGGGTTGAAGCATTTCTCCTACCTCAGCCTCCTGAGTAGCTGGTACAGGTGCCCACCACCATGCCTGGCTAATTTTTGTATTTTTAGCAGAGATGGGGTTTCATCATGTTGGCCAGGCTGGTCTCAAACTCCTGACCTCAAGTGATCTGCCTGCCTCGGGACTCTAAAGGGCTGGCATTACAGGCGTGAGCCACCATGCCCGGCTAGCATGTTCTTTCTTCTGTGGGCCCCAGTCTTGGCCTCCTTACCTGTGTTGGTCCTGATCTCTTTTGTCTTCCATGTCTTCCCAAGGCTGTTCTGAAAGGCCAAGACCTTGGTGCTAATGTGGCCACGGCTGACAGTCAGATGTCAGGCTGATGGTGGCCTCATGTGCTGGCTATCCGCCTGAGCTAGTCGGCTCTGTATGAACAAAAGCTCTTCTGTGGCCACAGCTGCCTTGCTGAGCACTGATCACAAGATAATTGAGCACAGGCGTGCAGCTTCTGGAACGATGGTGTCTCCTTTATGGGAGTGGAGATGGGCAGGGCTCCTCGAGACAATCCTGGACCCCATCTCTGTGGCCTCTTCCTTCTACCAGGGACATCCATCAGGCCAGGTGCATTCTGATCCACTGCTGCCTCCCTGGCCAGTCACGGACACCTGTTAACCCCACTTCCTCCAACGAGATAATCAGTAGAAGACGGGGAACTGGGGTGCAAGGGCTTGGGATTATGAGAAAAGGAGGTCCATGGAGCAAAAGGGCTGGTGCCCACAGACTTGGCAGGTATTGTGGAGTACAGGCCAGGCTTGTTTGGGAGTTGTTTTTTTTTTTTTTTTTTTTTTTGAAATGGAGTTTCCACTGGTCTCAGGGGCTCACGCCTGTAATCCCAGCACTTTGGGAGGACAAGGTGGGTGGATTACCTGAGGTCAGGAGTTCAAGACCAGCCTGGTCAACATGGTGAAACTCTGTTTCTACTAAAGATACAAAAATTAGCTGGGTGTTGGTGGTGTGTGCCTGTAATCCCAGCTACTCAGGAAGCTGAGGCAGGAGAATCACTTGAACCGGGAAGTAGAGATTGCAGTGAGCCGAAATTGCGACACTGCACTCCAGCCTGGGCAAAAAGAGCGAAACTCCATCTCAAAACAACAACAAAAAGAAATGGAGTCTCACTCTGTTGCCCAGGCTGGAGTGCAGTGGCGTGATCTCAGCTCACTGCAACCTCCGCCTCCTGGGTTCAAGCATTTCTCCTGCCTCAGCCTCCTGAGTAGCTGGGATTACAGAAGTGGGCCACCACGTCCAGCTAATTTTTGTTTTTGGTTTTTTGGGGATTTTTTTTTTTTTTTTTGAGGCGGAGTATGCCTGGTCAGGAATACTCTTCTAATGCTGCTCATGTGATGAGGACATTGCATTTTGACCAGGGCCAGATTCCAGAAAGAATGGGAAAGGGAATACTAACCCATGGATTGTATTCTAGGCACTTAATAGGGGTTCTAATAATAGCTAACTCTTGGCTGGGCACAGTGGCTCATGCCTGAAATCCCAGCATCTTGGGAGGCTAAGTACCAGTGGGTGCTTAGCCATGGTGCTCCACTGTCTCTTAATTCAGAGAATAAACCAATCAGAGGAGCTCATTTTGTGTTAGGTTGGTGCAAAAGTAATTGCAGTTTTTGCCATTTTAATTGGCAAACATAAGCTCAGTGAAGCAAAATGACTTGCTGGAAACCTCAAAGCTAGTGAGTGACAGACACTAGGTCCAGGCTCTTCCTGACTTCAGTATCCATGCTCTTTCTACTCTTTTTTTTTTTTTAAGAGACAGGGTTTTGCCATGTCGGGCAGGCTGGTCTCAAACTCCTGACCTCAGGTGATCCACCTGCTTCGGCCTCCCAAAGTGCTGGGATTACAGGTGTGAGCCACCGCGCCTAGCTGGCTCTTTCTACTCTCAATCCCACCTTTGATTTTTCTCCCTATCCAGGTTTCCCGGTCTGTGTCCCCTCTGGCCATTCTGCCTGCTCTTCTTGTTCATCCTGGCTGTTACTGCTTCTCTCAGTAGTGTTGCAGCTATTTTTAACCTTTATCAACAACAGTAATTAAAATAATAAAAGTTATCAGTGCTGTTTAAGGATCTTTTCTGAAACAAGGGAGAGTGTTACAATGTTCTTTTCATCTCCAAAGACAGGTGACTACTAGTTTTCCTCCCTCCTTCTGTCCTTTCTTTCTTTAGTGGGATTACTTGTGTAAAGGATGGGAGATGGGGTGAAAGGGGAGTTCCATCTGGGCCTTAAAAGCTGAGAAATAGGTTAGGCACCGTGGTTCATGCCTGTAATCCCAGCATTTTGGGAGGCTGAGGCAGGAGAATCATTTGAGTCCAGGAGTTTGAGACCAGCCTGGCCAGCATGGCAAAACTGTGTCTCTACAAAAAAGAAATTAGCTGGACGTGGCAGCGCATGCGTGTAATCCCAGCCACTCCAGAGGCTGAGGCGGAAGGACTACCTAAGCTTGTGAGGGTCGAGGCTAAGAACGCACTATTGCACTCCAGCCTGGGCGCTAGGTGAGCAAGCACGACCCTGTCACCAAAAATAAAAAAAGAAAAAAAAAAAAAAAAGGCTAAGAAATGCTACCTTTCTGTGTGTGGCTGTGAAGGTGGGCAGAGATTCTGTGGCCACTAGAGGGCAATGTGAGCCCACCTTTGTGAATGCAGATGTCCACAGCATGGACACACCTACATCGGAGAGCAACATGGACACTCCCACATCCAAGAAGTCTTCCAGTAGTATCCTCAGGGAGCGCCAGATCTCAGGACTGAACAGTAACCACCCTTCGACCAAATACTCCTGAGTGAGATCCCTGAAGAAACCCCTGAGGATCCAAGTGGAGCCTGGTTTGAGAGACTCTCAGTCTGGGGGACTCCCTGCCACGCTGTTGCCTGGAGAACAGGGCTCTCCACGCATTCCCCTCACCACAGGCTCTGCCCTCAGCTGCCTCATTGGGATTCTTACCATCCATTCTTCCAAACTCAGTCAGCTTTGCCTCTGTTGGTCCCAGTTTCCTTAAATCGGTCTGTCCACTGCTCCTCTTTGTTCCTCTCCCTGCTTTTTTTTTTTTTTTTTTTTTTTTTGAGACAGGGTCTCACTCTGTTGCCCAGATTGGAGTGCAGTGGTATGATCTCGGCTCATTGCAGCCTCAACTTCCTGGGCTTAGGTGATACTCCTGCCTCAGCCTCCCAAGGAGCTGGGACTACAGCTGCACATCACCATGCCAGGCTAGTTTTATTTTTTGTAGAGATGGGGCCTCGCTATGTTGCCCAGGCTGGCCTATAACCTGGTCTGGGCCCAAGAGATCCACCGGGCCTTTGCCACCGGGGGCAGTGGCTCATGCCTGGAATCCCAGCACTTTGCGACACTGAGGCAGGCAGATCAGCTGAGATCATGAGTTTGAGACCAGCCCAGCTAACATGGTGGAACCTCATTTCTACTAAAAATACAAAAAATTAGCTGGATGTGGTGGTGCATGTCTGTAATCCCAGTTACTCGGGAGGCTGAGGCAGGAGAATAACTTGAACCTGGGAGGCGGAGGTTGCAGGGAGCGAGATTGCGCCATTACACTCCAGTTTGGGAAACATGAGCAAAACTCGGTCTCAAAACAAACAAACAAACAAACAAGAAACCCCTAGAAAAGATAGCCTTTGCCAGAAAACCACAGCTACACAATGTGTTATGTCTATCATGTTAAAACATGCATTAGACACAAATATAAAAACCATGAAAAAAAGCCACCATTCTTCAATACTCTGAACAAAAATAAATCTTTTCTATTTTTAATTTCTTTGAGTTTTAAAAATATTTCTGTTTGCATGCTTTCATTTGAAGTTTTATATTTGTTTTCTGAACGTTCATGTCTGGAAACCGCATGTTCTTTTGTTGTTATTTGTTTTGAGCCAGCCAGCCTCTGTCTTTCATATTAGAAGTTTTCTTGGCTGGGCGTTGTGGCTCACACCTGTAATTCTAGCATTTTGGAAGGCCCAGGTGGGAATATTGCTTAAGACCAGGAGTTAGCTGGACATGGTGGCTCACGCCTATAATCCCACCACTTTGAGAGGCCAAGGTGGGTGGATTACTTGAGGTCAGGAGTTTGAGACCAGCCTGGCCAACATGGTGAAACCCCATCTCTACCAGAAATACAAAAATTAGCCAGATGTGGTGGCATATGCCTATAATCCCAGCTACTTGGGAGTCTGAGGCAGGAGAATCACTTGAACCCGGGAGGCGGAGGTTGCAGTGAGCTGAGATCGAGCCACTGCACTCCAGCCTGGGCAACAGTGCGAGACTTCGTCTCAAAAAAACAACAAAACAAAACAACAACAACAAAACCCGGCCTGGCACAGTGGGTCCTGGCTCCTGCCTGTAATCCTAGCACTTTGGAAGGCTGAGGTGGGCAGAATACCTGTGCTCAGGAGTTCGAGACCAGCCTGGGCAAAATGGTGAAACCCTATTTCTACTAAAATACAAAAAATTAGCAGGGTGTGGCAACGTGTACCTGTAGTCCCAGGTACTCGGGAGGTTGAGGCAGGAGAATTGCTGGAACCCAGGAGGCCTAAGCTGCAGTGGGCCAAGATTGCGCCACTGCACTCCAGCATTGGCGACAGAGGGAGACTCTGTCTCCAAAACGCAAAACAAAAAACAGAAATTCCAGACCAGCCTGGGCAACATAGCAAGAGGTCTTCTCCACCAAAAAAATAAATAATATATATTTTTAAAATTAGCCTGGTGTGGTGTTGCAAGCCTGTAGTTCCAGTTACTTGGGAGGCTGAGGCGGAAGGATTGCTTGAGCCCAGGAGGCAGAGGTTGCAGTGAGCTATGATCATGCCGCTGTACTCGGCCTGGGCAGCAAGAGTGAGACCCTGTCTTGAAACAAAAAACCAAA